TAAATATAGTATCTAAACATGAGGCTACAGTCCACAAAATAGTACTTATTTTGGCAACCAAAAGCACTTTGAGTCTTGGTTTGACTTTGAACTACACTTTTCCGAGGAGCACCTGAAGGCACCAGAGCAGAGAGAGCAGTTTCCCACCGCAGCACGAGCTGCTGCATCAACTGTCTCCCCGCGCGAGCTGTGGAGCAGCCAGTCCACGACAAGTTAGCAGGACGTGTGTTGAACCCGTCAGTACGCGCAGTTTACATGGATGCTAACTGGATTTGACAACATTTGTCGGTAAGTTTGTGCCAACACGTCCTCAAACTGTCACGTCAGTGCACGTTCAGACACCTTTTCACGCGCTGCGTTGCACGAGTCGCGAGCGGTTTGTTTGTGAAGTCGGTGTCAGTGTCAGCGGTTAACTAACTGGGGCACAGGAACCCCGAAGTCACCGAAATCAAGCTAATAGAGCCGGGTTTGCGTTTAGCCTGGTTTTCCCGGTACTATAAATGAAAGTAGGTTAAAAGTTGTTTGCTCGACTCAGTTTGAACAGGGACAGCAAACTGAAATCACTCTCACTAACTGGGGGTCCTGCTGTGTCTTTTGGGGCTCTCCTCATGTTAATAAAAGCGCTTCAACTACCATTAGCCATCTTTTTAAATGTCTGTGCTGCCTTCAGGGTGCATTACTCTGTATAAAGGCTGCATCACTGACAAAGTTGCTTGTGTTTATTGACATTAGCTTATTTTTGGCTAACATTCAAATGCAATTTCCATTCACTTTAAAGTTGGGTGTGCACTTGTGCATGCTAGTTTTCAGTCTGACAGGTCCGATTCTTGTTTGCTTACACAGAGTCCCCCAGACATCCCTTGGGCTCTGTGACCTTTGACCCTCTTGTATGTGATGCTGCAGCAGAGGTTGCTTTAAACTAAAGAGCTCCAAATGGAAATGAAAGCTCAGATAAATCAGATCCAGCAGTTTGGTTTGTGTCTGTGGTCCAGTGACACATGGGCAGCTTATGAAAAAAAAATCACTCCCTATGACAGTCTTGACACTGACTACTAGGATAACATGGCCATATTTACAAGAGAAAAGAGACTGGAGCTGCTGTCGTTGACACAATCACTGTATGATTGCAGAAAAGTTCTTTGTAAAAACTTTCACTTCTCCTCAGATTGATGCTGTTTGCATAGTGCACATCTCCAGTCACCTTGTGTGCTCTAACATCAGGGCATAATATGAGGCAGCAGTTGGAGCGAAGGTGTGGTTATGTCTTGAGATAGAAATCAGGAGCAGTCAGGGAGGGAGACTGGTTGGACTTGTTGTTTTCGAACTCATTCTCTGCCTAAGTGCATCCTCACTTACAGAACTCCTTGTAGGTGCTTCCCATTTGATTGGTTGTCTCGGTGACATTCCACTTTGGAAGGGTGTTTGCGGCCAAAGTTGACCTTTGACCTTAAAACATGTAGCAGCTGTAGAATACATTCTTTTTCCATCATGCTTCTCAAGCTGCGTTGATTACCTGTGTCTAGAAATGACAGGTGCCCTGTGGAGATTTTTGTAAACTAACAAAAGTTATGTTTATTGCACCAAACTGCATTGCACAAATCCTTGAGTTGTAACAGTCATGTTGAATGTTCTTCTTCGCCTTTCCCTGGTGTGTTGCTATGCACGGTTGAAGCCTAACCTAGGTAGTAGCAACAGCCAATTGGAAGCACTCACATGACCTGGATAATAACATGGCAGATGAAACAAATTTCAGATAATGAAAAAATAATATGACATGAGATGAAATTACACTGCTGTACATCATAAATGGAAATAGGCAGCCATATAGGTGTTAACATTAGCACCTTTTACACTGCCTCTGAAAGGCAGAAAGTTCATGCCGTCATTCCACTTGCCGTGCCTTGTAAAAGGTACAGTCGCAGAATGGGGGGGACATAGTTGTCTCGCCTTTAAACTAGCAATGGAGGTAGCAACAGTGCTGAACATATGTCTGCGCAAACAGGGCAGCTGGCAGGACGGGATCATGGGCAACACAAGTGTGACGTTTTGACAACGTGTTATGCGTGTGACCCAGCACCGGGAGATTTAAAAGTAGCTGATAGCAGTTAGCAGCTAACTCAAAGAATAAAAACAGCGGGCAAAAATGTCTGCAAATTGGAAAAACAATGAGGCCCGGGAGCTCCTTACCCTCCGAGCAGAGGTCGTGATCTACCACTGTATAACAGGGACGGTAAATGATTGTTATTGCCATGTAATGCCATTGTTATTGTTTTTGCTTCCACAATGCCGGCATGCTGTCCAAAATCACACACTTGAGTGGCATTATGTTGCTGTTCTGGGTAAAAATGCAAAGGAGGCACAAAGAAGGGACTTTGTGGCGGCACTATAGCACCACCTCTATGGAGTCTAATCTAGTCTTAACATTTTTCCCTTTACCAGCTGTCGCTCAGTGGAATAGTGTGAAACTGGTGGCAGGAATGTGTATTGGGTTGTCTGTGTATTTGCACATGCATGTGAGTGCTCATCCTTGTGTGCAGCATCAACAAAACAGGGACCAGCTCATAAAACAACAATGCTCTATAGTGCTACTATTATGTCGAAAGTCCACAGGGTACCTTCAAGTCTGCTCTGTTTACAGCCACTTCACAGCAGTACACAATTAAAGGAGCTAAATGCTGCATTTAAATTCTTACACTGCCACGAAATTTCTGAGATTCAGGTAGTTTACACCTTGAGTTATTCACATTCATATGTCCTTATGCTTTTCATGCTGTCTTACATACAGTTGCTCAGACAACACATGTGAACATGAACAAATTTTAGACAAAGGCAAAACCACCGATCAAAGCCATTACTTTACATAATCAGATATAAAAGCCAGATCCCTTGCAGCAGAGTTTACTGGCTTCAGTGCTGAAACCAGACTTCCCCAAGCTTGAACTAGACCCTGATATGAACTTATTTTGACTTGGACTTGTCCGGGAAACAACTGGGAAGTGATTAACTGTAATTAGGCGGAGACGTGTGTTGCGTGATTGCCATATGCTTACATGATGTTTAGTCTGTCCCCAGAAATGTAATGAAATTCTATAAATAAAAAATAGGTGATTGCATGGAGCTGATTTGACAGACTAGTTCATTTAATTACAATAAACAGCAACAAGTTTGTTGTTTGTTGTATGAAAAACCTGAGGCTTATCGTCATTTCTACTGGCGTGGATCACTTTTGTTATTCCTCAACAACACACTGTCTGTTGTTATAGACGCACACACACACACATTTATTCACAAATACTGGCGCTTATTTCATTCTCCACTTCAGCAGTCTCCGTCTTTGTGAGTCATCTTTTTGTCTGTCTTTGTTAACGAGTGCATGCACGCACCGCGCACACTTGCATTCACACACTTATCCGCCGTGAAGATACAGTCACCCCTTCTTGAGTCAGCCCTTGTTACACTAACACAAACATACTCTCACACACACACACACACACACACACACACACACACACACATAGAGCCCCACTCTCTCTGCACACTTTCCACTGGCGTCTCTCTCTGCCCTGCCTTCTAATCAAAGCCATATGTTCCCCAGGTCCCTCGCATGAAAAGTCTGTTCTGTTTGCAGCACTGTTCCCAGCGTAACCAGCCTCGCACTTTGTTAACTGGCAGATGGGAGACTGTGTTGGAAATGAAAGGTAACCTGGCTGCAACAAAATGCAGGTTGATGTTTCATCCTTTTGACTTTATTTTCCTTTCCTCGAAATGCTTTTGTCAAAGTCTGTTTGAGTTGTCTCTGGGCGATAAAAGCTGCTAATGGGAAGGTGGGTATTCTCTTGCATAAGTCCTTTGTGCAGTTGTGTCAGTATTTATGAGCTCTCCTGGTGGCTGGTTTGAAACGCTCTTCATGAACACTCCCTGAAACAAGTGTTTGAGATTTCAGGGTGTGTAGGATCACATCGCCTCTTCAGAAGAATCAGCTGTCACTTTTTCTTATTAGAAAAACATGTGGTCCAGGAGGCCAAAAAGAGACTGGTCAAACTTATTAATCTGAAAACCATGACCATGACTAATAAAAACATAAGCAGTGCTCTTGTCATGTGGGGGGACCCACTAGAAACTGGCATGTGACTCATTATGGGTCCCAACCCAAAAAATATAACTGTACTCCCTTCAAATGAAGAGTAATACATGCTTTAAATTCTCCTCATAAAGAAGATGCCATCCTGTTGATCTGGTTATGGATAAAGTACAGATTCCACTCAGCTGGGTTTCTTCTCTGAAAATTTACAGGCCAGCACATGGAAAGCAGTTTTCCATCAGATCTCTTGAGCTGTGATTCTCTGCCCAAAGCTGGCAGGATCCGACCCATTGGGTTTGGACCAAGTCGAGCTTTTTGAATTTTCCCAAACTTCAATTAGGTCGGGCTTCAAGGCACTATTCAGATGTTCCCGTTGTAAAAACGGACTGATTGATTGTTGATGGCTGACTCCCATGTGTGATTAAGAAGTAGAAATCTACAATTTATGGTACACACTTGATGGTTTTGACTTTGAAAATAAGAGGTTGATTTAGATTTTGTTTTGAATCAAAATCATACGTTAGTAGGGTTGTGACTCATTAAATGCAGCAGTGGTTCAGGTTTGGGTTTGGGTTTGAACCGAGACCACGCCAGTTTTTTGATTAGAAACCTGGTCCAGTTTTCTCTCAGCCAGATCAAAACTCTGCTGCCCGCAGTCATTTTGTCAATAATGCAACAATCTAAATTAGGTTTTTATTTGTTGTAATCACAAACACTCACATGACATTGTGCTTTTATTTGTTGATTTTCCTCTTATAATCTAAATTTGTGTCTATGCTCCATCTGCTCTCGTCTCTCCCTTTCTCTTTGTCAGCTTCTTTTCAACTGCGACCAGTTTAAGGAATGTGATTCTATTGTAGTCATATGATGTGTCTTTTCTTCTCTGACCCCCCTGTGTTAAACAGAGGGGGGCTCGTTTGCACGAGTGTGTTAGTATACTGAAGATTTAAAGGGAACTGTGCAGGGTTTTCTTTTACTAGATCTCCACACCACATCTTGATTTCCAATACACTGCCACAATACAGAGTATCTACCTTACTTTACACAGCTCGCTTCACATTCCTATTTAGCATGTATAAAGCTCTTAAAGGGATAGTTTGGATTTTTTAAAGTGGGGTTGTATGAGGTTCTTATCCATAGACAGTATACGCCTCTAGTTTGGAGAAGCAGGCAGGAAGACTGACATTAAAGCAAGGTAATGCACTGC